ACCTCCAATTTTTATAAGTAATTTGAGTCACATTTTACTATGATCATTCTCTGGTTGACTGGTGAATCACCAATTAAAATATTTTTGAGCCAGGCTATTAAACTTTTTCTAGTTGCTGTTTTTTGCTTCTCAATAAGCCTGGGAAACAGTAATCTTTTCGAAATACCCCAATGGGTAGATAAGAGGAAAATAACTAAATCTAGAAGCTTTGAGAGAAAATTCTTTTTTTAATCCATTTCTACTAATATGTTTGTGTTTAGAGTAACATTGGTGAGAAAATCTTGTTTAGGATATTCCATGTTTTCCTATTTAGTTATAATTTGAGTCATTCTTATATATCCAATTAAAATTTGTTCCGTGTTTCTATATTGGATTTCTTCATATTGATTAATAATATCAGTTTCTAAGTAATTTCTTTTTTTTTTACCAGAGGTTATGTCAGAAGGGTATTTAAAATATTCTTCTTCTGGAAATAATTAAAGACGAATTAATTTATTGTAAGACTTTGATAATAACTATATATTTTAATAGTTGTATCTTCAAATAGTCCTTGAGCAGTGAAAAGATTGGTATTAGTATTGGATACAAGTAAATTACAATCTGTAAATAGTGGTAGTGGTGATGGTGATGGTAATATACTTTTTTTAAGAGTATTAATTATTTTATTTAAATGTAAGTTGTTTTGTATAACACTATTCCATTTACCATCTTTTTTTCATAACAAGATTTTGATATATGACTATAAATTGTTTCTGAAACTTTGCAAACAAGGAAAAATTCTCCTTTTTCAATATTATTGGATGCTAATGTCAAAGATTTTTTTTCATTAGAGGATCTAAAAATAAATACAAAACAGGTTTAGTTATATATCAAAAGTATGTATATATATACATCAAAACCTTGTATATATAGTAAAGTGTTAATATATATTAAAATTTGGATTAATAATACAAATATATATTGTAGCATGTGAAGATTCAATCTTTGTTTTTTGAATGTGTTGGTTTTTTTGTTTAATTATAGTATAACGATAAACTGATAAAAATAATTTCATAAACACTTAATAAAGATTATTAATTTTAGTTTTGTTTTATTAACTTTATTAAGAAATTTTTTTAAAATAATTAAAAAACTTTAATATAATAAAAGTTTAAAGCCCTTGTATTAAAATTTTTACTATAAAAATTTTTCTTTAGATTTTCTTAAATTTTATATGTTTTTTATTTATAAAAAATCTTTGTTTCTAAGTAAACTTTTGATTTTTATTAGTAAATCACTAAAAGTGTAATAAGGAAAGTTATAATTCTTTATATTAACTATAATATTATTTAAAGAACTATATATTTAAAATTAATATTTAAAGTTAGTGATCCAAGCTAATTAAATTTTTACAGCTAGGCTAAGCCATTATATTTTTAATAGCTTAGCAGCTTAGTCTATATAATTTTATATTATACTGTATGTCTATATAGTACTTCATTCGAAATAAGTAGCTTTTTAGATTCGAGTTTACTTTAAATATTTTGACTGTTTTTATACTATAGAATTTTAAATAACAAATTAAATTCTTGGAAACAAATAAGTATTCAATCGAATAAAGATTTGTTACCAAAGTTT